CGGACATTAGACAGAGAAAAACGGAATATTTTCCTTGGTCTCCAACTTTTAACCATCCCTAAGAGGGCGTGTTTGACGTCCAGTTTTTCCTACATTACTTTTAAGTCTGCATGGAAAGCAGCCTGGAAAGAGAGGACCTCATTTACATAAATGCACTAAAATGTGGAGCAAACAGACCCCTCCCTGTCCCACTGAACCCTACATGTAACATGATTTTTCCTGGCCTGTTTCCTAGCTATGGATCCATCTGGAGACCAAGTTGTCTACTCACTGCTTTAGCTGATCAAAAATAGAAATGCTGTAATTAAGTGGCAAGAGGGTTTAGCTGTGCAAAGCAAGGTATACCAAGTCAAACTTTAAAAGGCCAGCATCCCACAGCTAGCTTACGATAGAAACCTAACTCATGTTACCTGGCTCAGGCCATCCCTTTAGGCCTCTTTCATCATACCCCTAATGATCTGTTTAATGTTTAATTTTACCTTCTGGCCTCTTCCTGCCGTAAATGCAGAAATGGGACTCATCGGGTATACCACAGTAGGACCTAGAACAGTACCTGACGCACGGCAGGCACTTAGTGCAAGATTTGTCTCCTGGGCTGACTGCCAGCTGAGAGCAGGGCAAATAATGAAGGAAGAAGGGAAGGATTTTACCTATCGTAGCTTGCAAGGGAGTAGGATGGAGATTTGACAGAATTATAAGGGGGCCCCTCACCACAATAAAGGGCTGGCATGCTCCATTCTGACTGGCCACGGACAACCAGAGAGTCACGTTAAAAGCCCTGGGCTAGTATTCCAGAAGCTGAATAGCATAACCACACTTAGGACGCCAGCATTTCCCTATTTCCCAACACCTTTGATGCCAGCTGATATCTCCTTTAATCTCATCAGAAAAATAAATGACGTCACCGTAGCAGCTCTCTCAAAACAGCAAAGAAGCCGGCCCATTCCAAAATGGGCCAGATTCAGTATTACATAAGTCGTGACGCTTTGGGCAAATACCCCATTTTCAAAAGTCTGGCTGAGACACAGTGAATTAATGGAAAAAGCACTCAGCAGAGAGACAGGGAATATGGGTTTCAATTTCAGCTCTGCTACCAAATTTTTGTCCTTGGGCGAGTCATTCCACTACTCTGGGCCTTATTTTCCACGTCTGTAAAATGAGAGTGTTATCCCGAAGGAGACAAGGAGTACCTTCCAGTTCCCAAATCACACGATCTCCTCAGGGGCCATCTCTAATAGTCTTTCTTCTCCCTGCTGTCCCTTCAATGTCGCTCTCCTCTGGCCACCGATGCAAATAACTGCCCTTCCTCCTCACTTTCTCAGTGTGGCCTCTTCATATTTAAAAAAAAAAAAAAAAAAATCTGTTCTCTAATAGTTTATCAACTTGAAACCATGCCTTGTATTTAAGCACTTGTTCCAACTACCTTGGGTCTGAACATGGACATGATCACAGGGATGTTTTATGCTTCCTATGCAGGATGTTAGCTCCTTAGAGGAAAACAGCATGAATTTTATGTTCCCCATATACACCTAGCACGGTGCCAGGCACATCACAGGTGCTCAGTTAGGGCTTTCCAGTCTTACCAGGAGGAGGTACAGAAAAACTTGGGATTACTGGTATTACGCAGGCATGCTCCAAACCTTGGATGACCCACTCAGCCACAAATCAGCTACCATCCAAGTCCATCCTTTCTTGTTAAGGGATACCTTACCGCAAGGTTGGCTGGGATTGATTTACCTGATTACAGGCAGTGGCTACCCTATAGTTCCGAATACTCTTGAATAAGTAAATACCTGCTTCAATAGCACTTTTAAAGCTGCAGAGACTTCGTGAAGATGACGGACAACATCTCCCTTGGATTTGCACCCCAGAAACAAATAGACACCTCTCTCCAGGGATACAAGGAGACTCACCAGCCCAAAAAGTACAAGATATTGCCTATTCAATCTCCTCGGTTATAGAGCTTACATAGGCCCTCTATAATGCAAGACCATTCAGCCTATGGACAGCTTCAGGGCAGAAGCGGCCCTGGAGTCTTTCATTTCAGTTTGAAAGAAAGGATTTTAAAGTTGAGAGAACAAATCCATAAGCAGAAGAGCCTCCTAAGCCTCACTTGAAAGGATCTTAAAATTGAGGGAAAAACAATCCGTACGCGAGAGAGCCTCACGTAGGTGTTTGGGTTTTTTTAAAACTGAATCTCCCATCTGTGTCTCAAAGGGTCCCCAGAGTTGAAGTCCATGTTGAGTAGGACGGCAACCACGCGCTTTCTCTCACAAATAAGTCTTGAGGGCTCATCTGGAGGGGTTTAGCAGGGCAGCACAACTCCTGGTTTGCTCTCTGGCCAAATAGGGTCTTCCCGTATCTAAGAGGTCACCTCTTGGGTCAAAGACATAGCTCCGTGAGGGCTGGTGAGGAGGGAAGGGGCTGGTCCCGGGCAGGCAAATCTAGTCAAATGAACTCGGTTTCAGTGGTGCGGCAGATGGGCAGCTGGCTTGCTCTGCACCCCCGTTTTGGGGGCAGGGGGTGGGTGTCAGGGAGGCTGAACACTACAGACCCTGAGGGAGCTGGCCAGTCACCCTCTCAGACCAAGAGCTCCAGTGTCCTTCCTGGAAACAAGACTCTTTCAGTGCTTTTTTACGTACAGAAAGAGTGATTATTTGAGACCTGAATACGAACGGACAGGCCAGGCCAAATGAAGGCTTTAAAAAAATGAAGACTTTGTTAATTTTATGTTTAAAATTTTAAGGCAGTTTCACTGTATTTTCATTGAAAGTGTTTTTATTTTTAATGTTATTGCTGCTGCCCCCCTCCGTAGTCCAAAATGACATACTAAAAACCAATTCATAATTTATCTTCAGATATACTCACAAAAACGTGAACAAAGACATGTATAAGGCCGTTAACTGAGGCACTATTTTTAATACTAGGAAAACAGAACAAAACCATGTATTCATTAATAGCAAGCTGATGAAATCAGCCATGAGGGCATCCACACCACGGCCATGCGATAGCCAAAAGGAATGACATAATCCTATATTTAGTGCCTGAAGGATGCCTGCAACACACTATGTTAAAACAACAACAAATTCCACACATAAGTGGCAGAATAGTATGTGTCACGATTCCACTTGGGAGAACATAGCATCTCTCTCTGTGTATAAAGTACATACGATTGTAACTACATAGGAAAGGTCTGGAAGGACATTCACCAAGCTAAACAGTAGCTGTCTCTGGAGGATGGAGCAGGGTATGCTTGGAGAGGAAGGGACACTTTTAACACATACAGTTCTACCCTGTTAAATTTTTTTTTTTTATGAGTATATATTACTTTTTCAATTGGTCTTCAGGTAACAGCACTGGGTTAACATTATCATAATTGATCCACGCATGGCCCGCTTTTACTAAGTTAAGTTATACTAAGATATTCTTAATAACTAAGCACTCTTGAACCCAACACCCCAAACAAAAGTTAGATCCTTGGCAATAACCTAGATCTAACTATATGATTCTCCCTGCCATCATACTGGCTTCCCTCCAGGCAACCACCAGCCCAAATCCCACATTCATTATTTACTTGTGTAATTAATAAGTAAAATATGACAAATCAATATGTGCAAACAATCAGTTTGTTTTCCTTTTAAATTCACTGCTCTTCAATCAAACAGAAATACCACAAATTTAATTCTAAGCTTGTCTTTGCACATAGGGGAACCCCATCTGCCATTTTTCCGGTGATGCAATGTTAATCACCCTGGTGGCCGCAATGGGTCATCATGGCACTAACTTCCCACGGGGAAACTCCAGAAGCCAAGAAAGAAACATTTGTCATTACAGATCATTTCCCTAAAAGCAAAGTAAATCCGTGGCTGATTTGAATCTGTCCTCACTAGGTAATTAAAAAAATTTCTAGTTGATCAGAGCAGGCTTTCCCTCTAGGTAGAATGTAGGCATTTAGTGATACTAGGTAATGATCTCTTTAATATATAGGGTTTCTCAGCCTCTCGCCAAATGGAGAGGCTTTAATTACTACACTGTAAGAGACAATACATGATAGAAGAGTGCCAGTGGACACAGAGAGTATGAAATTAAGTCAACCTCTATAATATAATCCAAGTTATTTGAAACCTTCCTTCTAGTTTATCCCAGGGTATCCATTTTTATGCCCTTTGATTCTACGAATTCTGAGCCTCCATTTAAAACTAAATCCAACATTCTGCATTTGGGAAATATACTGCATTATTAGGTATGCTTTTCTAGTTTGAGTTGAAGCCATACTTCCTGATAAGGAAATGCTTTTCCAAGTAGGATGTCTTTCACCTCTATCTTGTGAAAACCACTTGTCAACTCTGTGCAAGCCTGACTGACTCTAGCATCACATACCATTCTACAAAAAGAAAATTCTCAAACTAAAATCACAGAAGCCAGCAGGATCAGAAAGTCTCCTCTGGGTTTACTAATGCCTGCTTCTTCCAAATAAAAACTATAATTAAATGGATTCTCAGCTACCAACATTTAATTAACATGAGCAGATAATCCAAAATGGCAAAGAAGCCAGAATTACTGGTATTTAGAGCATATTTATATACTCGAACAAGACAGCATCTCATGTTCTTGACTTGGCTACATGGAGGGAGGCTACCAAGGAGAAATGGCTGGGCTAGAGCCGCCTCTCTGCCTTCCCATTCACCTCCCTCCTGCTCACCAGCTGGTGCTGGGAACCGATCCCACCACAGATACACTGCTACTCCTCTCTCTCAAAACGAACGTTCCTATAATTTCCAAGGCGAGAAGGGACTGAATATTTTGACTCTCCTGCTGCCGGGTTGCAGACTATACGCAGAGAGGGTCAATGGTATCAAAAGCCTTGTGCATCCCACGTTCAACTGTATCAATGCGAAAGGCAGCCAAAGTAGCTGCAAGTAAGAAAAACCCAATCGTGGCTTGACCTGTGCTTGTAACTCGGGGGAAGGCGCCTAAAGCGACGGCACAACACCACTTACTCTTCCTTCCGGAGCAGCTCCTCCTCGGACTCGCTCAGGCGCTGCCTGAGCGCAGCGATCATCTCCACCGCCACATCCACCTGGCGGTTCAGGGCCCGCTCTCGCCTCTGCACCTCCTGCTTTTTCTGCGTCAGCTGCACAAAGGCCGCCCGAACTTCCAACAGTTCGGCCGTTTTCTGGGCCAACTCTTTGGTGAGTTTATCGATTCTCTTCTCGATGGTCCTGTCCACGGCCTCGACCATCCGGTTGAATTTTTCTCGGATGTGGGCCTCGAAAGCGGCTTTGGTGTCCGAGGTGGGCAGTCCGGGACTGGAGCGCGGCCCCTCCAGCGAGTCTGCACGCAGGTCCAGCGCTGTGTAGGTCTGCACATAGGACACGGGCCGCTCGGCCACCACCTCGAATGGCTTCCTGTCCTTGGAGTGTTCGTGCGAAATGCTGTATAAGTTCACATAGCTGGGTTTCTGCTTCACCACGTGGCCCGTACCCTGCAGTTTTCCCTGTTTCAGGGGTTCTGAGGCAGTGACTAGGTCTGTGTCTTTGAGGGATGGGAAGAGGCTGCATTTGGTCAGGAGGGTTCTTTCCTGGTAGCTGTGACTGAATTCCAGATGGGCCCTCAACGAGGACAGACTTCTAAACCTGGTATGGTCTCCACACCTCGGGCAGCGGAACGGCAGGCACACGGCAACATTCTGGAAGGACTCCTGCCAGGGGTATCTGCTTGCCTCAAAAGCCTGCTGTTGCATTACTCTTCAGGTCCTGGGCAGGGCAACGGAAAACAGGTAGTTTACACATCTGTTTAAAAAGTGCTGCTGAGACGCTTGTGGCCCCTCACCTCTACCAGGGCAGAGGCTTTTGGCTTCAAATGCCTTTGGCATATAATATCTCACATTAAAATTAAAACCTACGATCCGCGGGCCAAATCCAGCCGCATTCACTCCTTTCCGTGTGGCCTACTACTGCTTTTGCACTGAAGGCAAAGATGAGTGACTAGTTGGGACAGAGCCTCTATGGCCTGCAAAGCCAAAATGACTTACTCCTGGGCCTTTAGGAAAAGCTTGCCAAGCTCCCCCGCCCCAGCCCAAGATGAAGAAGGTGGGTAAAATTCTCTTTTTGCAGATGAGAAAACTGGAGCAAGGAGGTAAAGTAATGAATTCAAAGCCAGATGGAAAGTGGCAGATCCGGAAGTGGAATTTAAGTTTCCTGCCCTCCTGAACTGAGCACACTCACTGCAAACCTGTGCCCTATTCTACTGATACAATCCTGGTAAGCATGAATTCCAAAAAGGAGGAAAACTCACACAAATTGTCAAAACTTGTCCTGAGAGAGAGTTCAGCGATCTTTCTTCAAACATAGGAGTAATATTACTCAAGCTAGGCGCAGTGGCATTAAACACAGAATCAGCTGGAAATTTTTCAACCTGAGATTTTGCCTTTAGTTATTGTTGTGATGGCATAAATCAAAATATTATGGTAACAATGATAGCCTCCCATATTCCAGATTTACTGACATTTGGGAACTCAAGATATCAAATATATTTTGACCCAAGAGGGACCATGGTCAGGACTTCAGAAAAATAACCGTGTTCTGAATGGATTTATCTCGTCTCTGATCCTGTTTTAATATGATAACCTTTAGAGATGGCCAATATTTGAACCCGACAGGTATCAGCATAACTTTTAATAACAGGAAGTTCTTATTTCCTTGTAGCAATTTATTATCTTAGCCCTAGCAACAGATACTGCTAGCAACCCTATTCTGCAAGCAGGGCATACCTATTCCCTCCAGGAATGGTTTCTACTTAAATGTAACAAGCCCTGGGCCCCCAAAAAGAGGAAGTTCAACTAAGGGTCTAGACTGGAAAGTGTTGTTACTGGGCCCTCAACCTCTTCAAAAAGCAGAGGCGCAAACGGTCCCCAGCCAGGTAGGCAAAGCCTCCAGGTTAATAAGCCTCTGGCCCCTAGAGAGGGGAACCTCTTCCTGTGCTACGGCGGGCCGTTTAACGACCGGTTTTGTGGAGACAGGATGCAAACCCTGACCGAAAAGGCAGCAGAGAGGTGAAGGCAGGGGAAGTCAGGATTTCAAGGGGTGAAGTGGGGAAGGGTTGGCATCCCCGAATGGGGAAATGGGTAATCACACACTCTGGGAGTACTCGTGCTTCCAAGGGCCCAGGGGAAACCCCAGTCCGCAGGGTTGGCGGAAAAGCCCTCATTCCCTCTGCCCGCGCGGGGCAGGCTGGCAAAGATGCTCTCCGGAGGGTCCCGGCTCTCCGAGGGTCCCGGCTCTCCCCGCCCCCGCTCCGCTGCGGGCCAGCCCTCGGGAGCCAGAGTGGATTCGTGCGCACACGAGTTCCCGCAAGTGGGGGCCGACAGCTTAACTCCCCGCCGCGCGGAGGGGACGCGACCCCTCCCCAGCCCGGGACCGCCCCGCCGGTCCTCTGCCGCGCCCCCCGGGCCGGGCCGCAGGCGCAGAAGCCCCGCTGCCGCCACTTACCCGACTTGTTGCTGCAGCTGCAGCCGCTGCTGCTGCCGCGGCGGCCGGTGCTACTGCTGCGGGAGCAAAGCGGTTTTCAGCAGAGCCGTAAATCAGGCTGAGCCCGCGCCCGCTCCCACCCCCCGCGCACCCCCGCGCCGGGACCCGCGGCGTCCAAGGCGGAGCGTGGCGCGGGCCGGCGGGGTCGGCGCGCGCGGCTGCGGGGGACCCCGGCGCCCGAGAGCGACCGCCCCGGGGCGGGGGAGGCCTGGGGCGCCAGCGGCCCCGCGAGCGACACCCCGCTCTGCCCAGCGTGGGGGAGCACCGTCTGCCCGCCCCCAGCCGTGAAGCGGGATGGGGCTCAGGATCCCACTGACATCACCCGGGGGGCCGCTGGGCTCGCTGCCCGGGGGAGGGAAGGGGAAAAGCGTGCCAGGCTCGGAGGCGCTGCGCTTTCTGCAGGCCCTGGCCAGCTCTTTTGCACTTTGCAGTTACTGGGGAGCGGGAGAGTGTGGGTGAGGATGAGGCGCGGCTGGGTGGCTTCGCTAATCTGCCGGCAGGAAGGTCCGGGTGTTCATTTTAGGACCTCCTCATCTTAAGCAGCGGGGCCGAGGATGTCCCAAAATAACCTAGCGTCTACTCTAGCCCCACCAGCCGAGCATCCTGGTGCTAAGTTAACCGGCTTAGCTAAATCTAGTAAAGTATGTGGGTTGTGAATAAATAAAGCGAGAAGACCCCCCACGCCCTCAGCCGGATCTGAGGGACACGCCTCCTCTCCCCTAATCCTCAGGCCTCCAGTCCCGCCCCGCCCCGCAGGGGCGAAGATCTCTCAGCCTACAGAGGTCTCTTTCCTTCTGAAAGACCCTGATGACTCAGCTTTTTATTTTAACCTGTTTTGGGGTATTCCTGGTCTAACTCTTGAAGTATGAAACCAGGATAAAAGTTACTGTTGGGTTTTCTTGTTAGAAAGAGAGATTCTGTTCATCTGTGTAGTTATTTCAGTGCATCTTCTTGACTCCTAAGGGTGTCTCTGTTCTCAGAGCTTACTGTATTACTCCTTTCAACGCTGATTTTATTTCAATTGTGAATATCTCAATAATTATCTTAGATTTTGTTTATTTATTTATTTTGGGCAAACTCTAGAGTCAGACATGATTCAAATCCTAATTCTGGGATTCAAATCCTGACTTCTAGGACCTGCATCAAGTTAGACTTTTCTGTGCCGTGGATTTCTCATCTGCGAAATGGAGATAATCGGGACCTACCTCTTAATGGGATGAGGATCAAATGAGGTTGTGAGGGTAAAGCACACTCTCTGACCCAGAACTACACTGATAAAATCAGCTCTGCTTATTTCAGGTACGAGAGAGGAGCCTACATGTCTATAAAAAACGGAAGAAAAGGGGAACTAAATATGTACTGACTTCCACATAAAGGGTGATATAGGCTGTTGTGCTGGGGTGCATTCTCTTTGAAAAGATTATATTTCATTGAATTCATCTGATGACTCTCAAAAATATGTTTATTCCAAAAATCAATTCACTTAGTAAAATATTCTTAAGTGTGAAATGTACATGTAATGGAGGGCAACCTCATCCTGGTCATCTAACGGATGGGAGGAGCATACAGGGTAAGCCTCTCTCAGGGGCTGCCTGCCTTAGAACAAAATGCCCCAAAAGTAGCTCTGGAGAAAAAAAGCTCTTGGGTTCAGGTCCCTCCCATTTCTTAGGCAGCTTCCTGCCTCTGGTCCTTGAGTTCCTCCCCTGTAAAAATAAAAGTATGGGGATTTTCAAGGTCCTTTTTTCACCCTAAAAGTATCAAGGATATTTTTTTTTTAAGATTTTATTTATTTATTTGAGAGAGAGAGAATGAGAGACAGAGAGCATGAGAGGAAGGAGGGTCGGAGGGAGAAGCAGACTCCCTGCCGAGCAGGGAGCCCGATGTGGGACTCGATCCTGGGACCCCAGGATCATGACCTGAGCCGAAGGCAGTTGCTTGACCAACTGAGCCACCCAGGCGCCCCAGTATCAAGGATATTATCAAGTAATTATGGAGAGGTTGTACTATTCAGGATCTAGAGTTGAGCACTGTGGGAGCTTCAACTCTGATAGAAGGCACTCAGGACCTTACAGTTTACACCAGTTACTCTCAAGGTGTATCCTCTCACTTCCAACCAGCAGCGTGAGCATTAGCTAGTAACTAGTTAGAAATGCAAATTATGTGCCTTGCACCAAACCTACCAAATCAGAAACTCTGAAGTGGGAGCAAGCAATCTGTGGTTTAACAAGTTCTGCAGGTAATTCTGATGAATACTAGTTTTGAGAACCTCTCATTTAGACAGTACTTCTTCATTTATGGTCTACGACAAATCAAAAGGTGTATTATCTCCATGATCATTGTGTTTATGCTGGGCACTGTGCTAAGCATTTTATTATCTCATTTAATCTTTCTAACACCTGTGAGGGAGAGGGGCCCTCGTGCACTCGGTTTCAGCCACGCTGGTATTCCTTTCCTTCTCTAAGGGTTCAGTTTTTCCATTTCAGGTCCTTCTTTTCTGGATAATGCCTACTTATCCTTCAGGGCTCAGCTTGCGTGTCCCCTTTCCCAGGAGGTCCACCCCGATCCTGCCCAGCTAGGTCAGCTAGTAAAATTTACCACAATAGAGTTTACCACAGTGGAATTATTTGTATAGTTACCTATTTAATATTTATATCCACTATTAACCATAAGCTACATGAGTAGCTTGTCTTACTCCCCAGTATATTCGCAGTACCTATCATGGTGTTGATCACATACAAAGTGCTCAGTAAATATTTTTTGAAGGAATTTTAAATGTTGAAAATGAACTCCCTTTCTACTTAAGGGGAAGCTGAGGCTCAAAAAAGTTAAGTAGCTTTCCTGAGATCACACATGTAGAAAGTATTAGAGCCAGGACTCCAAACTGCAGATTTTTTTTTTAAAGATTTTATTTATTTATTTGACAGAGAGACAGAGCACAAGCAGGGGGAGCAGGAGAGGGAGAAGCAGACTCCCCGCTGATCAGGGAGCCTGATGCTCCATGCAGGGCTCCATGCAGGGCTTGATCCCAGGACCCTGGGATCATGACCTGAGCCGAAGGCAGGTGATTAACCAACTGAGCCACCCAGGCATCCAAACTCCAGATTTTAACCGCTATTCTCATAGCCTTTCCAATTTCTGACAAAGAAAATAAAGTTCTGAGAGAGAAAATGACTTGCCTGAAGTTATATAGCTAGTAAATAATAGGATCAGGATTAGAATTCATGTCTTATAATATGTATGTTCTTTCATACTACATTACACTGCTTTACCCTGCCCTTCAGGAACTTATAAGCAGTGGGATGGACAAGATATACATATGGGACAAATTAAAAGAAATTAAGTGGTACATATCTACAGGGCCTGGTATCATGCCTGATACATAGTAGATGTTCAATAAATGTCTACGGAATGAGCAATGATCATAGCTTCCACCTTTGGAATATTTACAACATGTCTCCTGCTACTAAGTGTTTATAAGCATATCTAATGTTTCTGAAAGTAGGGCTCTTGAAGTCTGGGAAGCTTGTTAAAATGCAGATGTCTGGGGATTTAGACCTAATTCCTTGGAATCTATGGGTGTGGGTCTTGAGAATCTGCATTTCCCCCTATCTCCAGGTGACTTTCCCATCCACTAAGGTCTGAGAAACAATTCATTGTTAAAATCACCATTCAAGGCAGACATTGGTAGCACAAGGGGAAATGCTGCTTGAGATGTCATGAAAGTTGCTGCAGGTCACACCACTAGCAAGCGTCAGAGATAGTAAGGATTTGAATCATTTTGACTCCAAAAGCCTATGCTGTTCCCACTGCCACTGCTAAAGGCGGGAGGGATGGGGAGAGGAAAAGACGATGGGCAGGATGGAGGAGCAGGCAAGGAGGAAGGAGAGAAGGAAGGCCAAACAATTACTGGAGAAAATGGATTTCATTGAAGAGGAAAAGAGACTATCAGGCGGGGTTGTCAGACCATCCTTGCTGAAAGCCCTGGGAACTGAATGGAGATTTATGGGCTGCCTTGCCTCTCTCCTTACCTAATAACATCTACTCATTGTGACCAGAAGGACAGCCTTTCAAACACAGGTTTCCTGAACCACAGAGGCTTTTTAAACAGCAAATGCATTTTGTTAAATAGAGTGGTTACATTTGCCAAAAAGTGACTTTAGAAGGACCAAACACAGACCCTCTCAAATGTGAATAAGCTCTCCAGATCAAGGAAGGACCCCAGATCAGCATCTGTGTGCAGTTGGGCCCCCTGAGTTGCAGAGCTAGTAAGTGGCCTGAAGATCAGAGGCAGTCCTCCGCAGTCAGACAAATCATTTCACACAGAATGTCAGGTAATTATGAAAATCCAGGGAGTATGTGAGTAACCTTGCTCCAGACTGACTTTAAGTATTTTTACGTAGCAGATAAGTTCTCTGCTGCTACATCTTCATCTCCCTAATGCACCTAATTGCATTTATGTATTTTTCCAACCAGTAATAATGGAGCGCCTACTATGTTCCATTACTAATTGCTTGCATCATTTCAGCTTCAGAGTCGGAGCTCTAATCTGGCTTTAAAGCCTTCAACCAGAATAATCTACTAGAAACCTCTCTTTCTGTTAAATTTCGTTGGCATGGCAACCACCAAGCAACACCATGGAGAGTGCCTTAAATCCCACAGCAGTCTGTTAGCCTGAGTGAGTCTGCAGAGAGGAGGCCATATAGAGAGGCTAAAAATAGACAACTTACAGCAAGGTGCCCTGCACTCCTACCACCCAGGAGGATTATCACTTTCTTGCTCCCCTTGTTGGGGTCAAACGTGAGCCACAGGAGAGAATGGGCCAGGCTTCCAGTTGGCAGGTTTTTCCAGCCCAGTGCCTGGGCTGGGAATGTGGAGACCCCAAGTCTAAGGCCAGCTTCACCCCCTAATGAGCTGTGTGAGGTTCTGTTCAGGGATTTGGTGTCCTCACTTATAAAGGGCAGGGGCTGGTATGGATTAAGTACTTCCCAGGGCCACAGGCCTAGTTAGTAGTCCAACGTGTTTGTCATTGCCTTGCTAACACAGATTGGGGGGCTAGGGGAGAAGACAAGGCAGACAGATGTGATGGTGGTGGAATTTGTCAACAGGCAATTTGGCAAAAATCTTTAGTTGTCATCTCTTCTGGTAATAAGAGCTAATGTGTATCAAGTGCTTACCAGGTGCTGAGGAGCGTTCTAGGTGATTTCACAGAATATGCTATTTTACCTTCCTAACAAGGCTAGGGGAAAGGCATTACTGGTATCCTATGTTATAAATGAGTAAACCGAGTCACAGAGCGGTAAAGTAAACATCATTTTCACAGAAGTAGCAAAGTATGTAGGTAGGATTTTGAACTTGGAACCACCTGAATTCAGAACCAACATGCTTGACCATGATTCCGTTGTATCTCTAGTGCCTTGATCATTGCCTGGTACCTGAAGGGCTCTCAAAAACTAATTGTCGAACGTGCAGTAAATGGTATGCTAGAAGGTTCTCAGTGCCTATCATTCAAAAATCTTCAAGCCCTTTTTCTTTCTTGGTAGTTTATTATGCGAAGAGAAACCTTTGACACATCTCCCCTAAGCAAAATGGTTGTGGGAGAGCTAGAAAGCATGTTGCTATGGAATAAAATATACAGAA